CTTAACGCCCCTCTATTCCAATATAGAGAAGTTTTCTCAACGCTTTCCGTGTGAGGGCACCCAATCCTGTAGCAGTTCGAAGTGTCCAGTTACAATGACACGCGATGACATGAAGCAGGATATTCCCCTCGAATTGGTCAGTAACCTCAGCGTTCACTCTCATCCGGGGTCCATGAAGGAAATATCGTCTTAGGCATGCAGGAACTTCCGGTCATACCACAAGCCCGCGTCTTGGGCACTGCGGTGACGATAATGTCCTAGACCGTAGCGACGTTGTCGGAGCTGCTCAATGTTGAGGTTTCCAGATCAAGAGAGTGCTTGGCCTCAAGGTAGGGTTCATCGGTGACTTCATTCAAGAAGTCTCGCACTGTTTGTAGGTGATGTGAATTCCATAGCCTTTTTCAGTCAGGCTGCGATTGGAGATGGCTTCATATTTTGTGTACATGAAGGTGATGGGCGAGAGCCAGCTCCTGCCTTATCGAGGATACCTCTTGGGTATCTTCCCCTTAGTACTGTACCACGTGCCATCTGTCTGCACTGCGAAAACTCTGCTGACATCTGATTCGGCCGAAGGTCTTTTTTGCCTCCTCTGTCTGAATATACTCGAATCCTTGAAGATAGGTAGGCGCTGCGTACTTCAACTGACGCGGACGTGACGGATATATCGATATTTCTTTTTTAGAACTTTTGTGTTTATTTTTTTTTGTGTGCATGTCTTTGTCCTCTTTAGTCTAACACAGAACAAAATAGACAGTTGTCACAAGTTGCGATATTCCGAGTAACCGTTCTGTGCCATGTCCAGATGCCACGCCTGTTCCGTCTTAGGGATAAGGAGTATACAGCCGCGGATCTTCCTTGAAGGCATTCCACAAAAGTATCTCTTAGGAGGCGGGGCCACTCGGTACCAGCCTGAAAAGGCGAACAAATAATAAAAATCAAAATTTACTGAATTCAATTAAAAACCTTCTTTCGCCTGGGTCTAGCCAACGATGCTCGTCATCGTCGCTCACAACTGTTTCTTAGCAGCTTCCTGCATTAAACGCCTTACAACGTTGAAAAAGCAATGAAGGAATGGCGTGGGAATCGGGCTCTCATCATTCCGCAGCCTTGCAAAAAGTCGATACAAAAAGGCCTGTTACGTTGACACAAGTTGCACGTTCGGAAGAAGCATAGCTGTCATTCTGAGCTGCAGGGAATTTTGAAAGGACAATGTCCTACACAGTGGTTTCAGGCGGTGCCAGCTGGACCTGCTCGCTTTATTGTGTTTAAATAGTAACCTGGAACAACAATCGATGACAGTGCTCAAAGGCATGATCACCTGTCTTCACTTTTTTATATGGGCTACTGCTGCTTTGGTCAGATTCAACCCGGCATTTATGACCCTCCCCTTCCCATCAACACATGATTTCATCCCCATCGCGTGTCCCGAGGCACAGTCTTGAAAACAAAATGTTGCTTCTCTTCCGAGGGCAGCCCTGCTATCTCTGAGGTGAGCTGATCCTCCGAGAACGGCCTTTCTCTAGGTGAGCTGCAGTAGCGTGCCACTTTCCCAGCTCAGAAGTGCATGGGAGTAGCAGTACCCGGAATCAGTCTCTCTGGTGTGCAGAGCATGCGTCGATACGAAAATTCACCAGCGAAAGTACAGTTATAGGTAGGGTACAATCAAAAGCGACTAGGTGTAGACAAGTACTGGGTTGGACATAAGTCATTCGCTTTTTTTTTAAACCTTAAATTTCGTTGCCAAAGAATGAATGTTTTGCTAGCAGTCTTGATATCATCTGATAGGAAACTTCACGCTAGTTTCAGAATTCAAACGGTTTGTTGAGGGAATAATTTTTTGGATTTTTAGTGCTGAAGTTGAAAGCGAAGTACGGCGAAAATTAGCACCTTGACAACTGCCTCTATATTACGTATAGTTGAGGGTGCTAAAGCGCTTAAGCTGCTCCATACATTAACTTGGAAAGGTCCGAGCTAGAAGTTCAGCAAAGGGAAAATCACTAGGCACGCTTTGTTTAACGAATTCAGATTTTGAAGCTTACAACCTTACTCGCCGATATTGGGCAGCTTCACGATTGTTTCCACCTGAAATTTATGCTGAATTTTTGAATGTTTTCGCTGATATGTTTTGCATGTTCTGGCATAGCAAATTTCGTGGCTCTATATACTGCTATAGAAATCTGTTTCTCTCAGAGGTGTTTGTTTTCCTGTTAAGTTCAAGGTATCATTACGGAACGGAATCCTTGAGAAATAGCGTTCCCGTTCTGAACACGAATTTTATGCTAACATTTGAATGTTTTTGCTACATGTGTTCTATATTTATCTGATAGCCAATTCGTGCTCTATAAACCGCATTGTTATTTGAAAATCCTTAGGTGAACTTGTTTTTCGAGGTGGATTAATATGGAATATGGTCAGGGCCGATAAGCATCAGCAATTCAGACATCCTCCGCTTCGTTTTTCGGCATTCAATAGAGGTAGTAGAGCTGGCTGATGCTGCTCGGGGAAATTCGAAGTGTATCGGGAAGATGGCCTCATCTCTCAAAACAGCCCAAAATTGGCTTCAGACTCGATGGTACTGATACCATCTGTTGAATGCGAAAACGAGGAGATGTCTGAAGTGTGTGCGTATCGACCTGGACCTATATTCAATATTATCCCCTGAAAAACAAAGGTTTATAAATTTTTCAAAAATAACTGCAAAGCTTGTCTATAGAGAGGAAATTTGGCTATCAGAAAAATATAGAGACATTAGCAAACATATCAATGTTAGCATAAAATTCGTGAGAACGGATCGCTAGTTCTCAAGAATTCGCTGTTCCGTAATGCGGATACTTAAGCTTACAGAAACAACACCTCTGAGAACAGATTTCTATAGGGCAGTGGTTATAAAGAGCACGAATTTGCTATTCAGAAATGCACCATTATCAGCGAAACATTCAAAAATTAGCTATGAAAATTTCATGGTCGGAATCAGACGTGATGCTGCCCAATATCGGGCGAGTTGAAGGTTGGGTAACTTCACTTCTTGAAAATATCGTTCCCAAGCGTCTAGTGAGATTCCTTGCTAGAATTCTAGCTTCGAACCTTTTCACAAATGTATGAGCAAGCTTAAAGCGCTTTTTAGCAGTCTCAATACTATACGTAAATCAGAGGCGTTGTCGAAGGTACTCTTTCGCGACTGTCTTCATCAACGAACTAAAAAATCCTAAAAATCATTTCCTCAACCAAAACCGTTTGATATTCGAACTACGTGAAGTTTCTTATCAGAATGATATCACGCTTGGCTAGCAAAACCTTTCATCTTTGGAAGCGCAAAATTTAAGGTTCGAAAAAAACGATAAGTACTTATGTGCCAAACAATAGATTCGTATATCGGCACATAGTTAGGCGATGGGCGCGTGCCGAGCGCAGAGGAGTAGGGAGGACGGACCGGGTATGATTACCTCGAGTGCACTTCCGACCGGAGAAAGTGGCTCCCTATCAGCTTTCAGAACCCGTTCCCTCTGCGATGGCAAGACTAACCGGATGTGAGTATCACCAGTTTCTTCCTAAGGAGTGGCCCGATTAAATCCGCCAGGACGTGTAGGATTAGTAGGCCCGCTAGACAGTCACTGCGTGTCGCTTTTTTTTTCAAGGAAAGCACCTTGTATCGTCTTATCAAGACTGCCTTTTACCGACCGGTGACCCCACCGCGCGCCGCCCGCCAACAAAAGTCCGACCGATCCTGAAGCTCGTACTGCTTGTATTTACGAAGCAGAAAAAATGATTCAAGGAGTGAATGAATTCTGGCTCTGGATGCTGCATGGATATGTGGGGTATGTACGTGAGCTGTACTACTTCACGGTTATTGGCCAGATGTTCATCTGAGGGAAATCCGAATATTAGCATTTGAGTTATTAAGAAAGAACTTTTCTCTTCGGAATTCTTGACCAGTTTCAACTTTCGCTTTTCGCCTTTTCCCCATTATATAGGACCCTGCTAGCATTTCAGACTGAGTACCTCAATGTTATCGGCTATATGCCTTAACTTAAGATAAAAGTGGCTAAGAGACAGATGAAAATGCTAAACTTGTTTTCCCAGGTCTTTTTTCTTCCGGCGGCTGTATATCATGTCATCATGTTCGATACAAGTTGATCAGAAGACATTAAACTCTTTTATCGATCAAAATTTAAAAAGCTATATACAGTTATATTGAGTACCGAATTGACATAATATATTAAAGATCGACATCGAAATTTACATAATAGATAGCGCACAACATGACTGAATGCTATGGGCATTGGTACGATTGCACTGGTCAAATTGATGAGGACTGCAAGACGTACCAATCGTCAAAACATCGCGCGAACTGGGCAGACATGCAAGTGCCACACAAAAGAGAGCCTACAAAACTTGTCAAGCAGAAGAAACGATTCATATTTGATCCGTACAATGTTAGAAACCTGACGAGTTCAGCTCTGCTGCAGCAAGGCGCGAGGCGAACTCGGAAGGACTAGGAAACGGACTGAATCAATGCGAGGTCGCTACGGAACACTAGTGAACAGCAATAACCGACGATGTGATGAAGGAAGGAAGAGGGGGAAATAACGAAGAAGAAGAAGAGTTAGCGGCGTGCATAGGCGCGACAAGTGCAATGTGGGAGTTATGGTGGTAATGGTGATTCTGGCACGAACGTACCGGAAAGTGCAGAATACAAACAGTGGGCGAAGTGAACGATTGACTAGAGAGGGGTGGCGAAAAAAATAAAGAATACACAGCGCTCTAAGTAGTTCGGAGGCAAGACAGGCGTGAATCGACAATGGGGGCTAACGGAGGGATGGATGCTCTCACCGGGAGCGAACACCACGAACTGAAGGAACCGGGACAGACACTACGGAAGCAGAGATGCTAGCAGAGACACACGGAGATGCTGGTGAGACGGACGGCAAGAGTCGAGGAAAACAAGGGATATATGGCGGGCGGCGGGCTAAGTTAACAGCAAGTGTTTCGGTTAGTAAGAGTTAAAATTCGGCAAACTCCTTGGAACACTTTTCGGTGCCCGAAATACGTAATGGCTCTTCCTCGTAGTCGTCGAAATTCGAAGCATCGCCTGGACCGCGACATTTCGGCAGGAAAGGCGCTTCCACCTGTAAACAGACGCAATCACGTTGCATGAAGCTGTGATAAGAGCAGAATTTGTCAGCGTATCAGTGAAGAAAAGCTACTAAATTGTGAGAAAGGAGCAGATCTCAGTCTGGTCGTGCAAGGGTCTCAAAAATGAACTGAATAATGAAATGATAGTAGTCATGCTCATTGAAACGACACACTTGTGTAAGCAGTACAGTATTACATCCGAAAAGTGAATCACGAGTGACATGCAAAAGAAGACACAGAGAGTTACTCCATTCTCTCTTGAAAAGCCCTACGAGCCCTATTTGAATGTGGCAGGAGAGTAACCTCAGAAATCGGCGAATGTGTCAGCATGTTGACTCTCCTCGGCGATGATCCAGTTCTCTTCCTCTTTGACCTCCTCGACGAAGTGTCGAGTGTCAGCAGGTCCTTCGACGCGTGGATAGAGGGCCTCGAGAAGGCGTCCAGGCTCACATTTGGAGAATGACGCCGGAGTGATCTACACACAAGCACAATACATCTCGACCACACCAAAAAGCAAACAAAAACCATGCAGAAATGCCAGTGAAAATAAAAAGAAGGCTGTTTAAGCCTACGATAGAAAAGAGGGAGCCGTGCAGTTAGTAAAGGCTTGGAATCCGCTCATCCAATGACCCGTGCACACACTCACATTCACACATCTCAACATTCAAGCTACCTTTCGTTGATAGATCGCTATCCAGTCGGTGCTGCCGAACCATTTGTGGTTCTTGATGTCAGCGACGCCGTTCTTCAGATTACCGAAGCGCTTTGTCAGATCGACTTGAAGCAGGTTCTTCAGCAGATCCTTGAGCTCGTTGGAGAAATGTGACGGGAATTTCACCTGAAAAATGAGTCTAGCAGAATGAAGCAGTCAGCCTTGTAATCTTTACTGAAGGAACTATAGTGTAGTTCGCTGCGGACGGTTGGGCATGTCAGCGCGGCTGGCGTTTGGCGCGGTGCCAGACTCGTTCTCTACCAGTTGCTGAAGCGAGCAAGCAATGTGACTGTATTATATCGTTCGTATCACTCGTTTTCTACCACTTTTTGCGCTACGCGCGTTTCTAAAAGAAGGCAGAGAACGCCTTCGACGCTGTTCACACTCATACTGGCTGACACGCCCACCGTCCGCAGCGAAGTAGGGTGTATTTATTCTAAATTAACATTCTTAACGTAGCAGAATGTGGGTAGGGGGTAGGATGAAGTTATGTGGGACTGGTAGCTTCGCTTTGTGGCGAAAAAGTCGAATTAACTCGAGAGAACGTCCTGAACAAGTCCCTTCCTTGAGCAGTGTGCGAGCATCCAGTGGAAAGACTAAGTGCGCAAAAGGGGAACCGGATAACGAAGAGCAAGGAACACAAGGTCCGCGGAACAGATGTTCTTCTGTTTTACTGGTAGTGGTCGTTTTTCATCTATGCAGCCGAGGACATCGCCGCAAACTATCAGCCACTGGCGCCCTTCCCAAGCACTTTTTCGAGGCCAAGGGGTCCATCCGTGTGCTTGCGAGGCTGGGACTCACAATATAAGGAAAGGATTGCACTTATCTGCTCATAGTGGACTTCAAAGGAAGTGGGCACGATGACTGGGGTGGATGTTGCCGGCAATGTCATTGGTGGAAGGGCTGCGAGGCGGTGAGGGCGTTTGGCTTCACCCCAGTCCGTGCTTCGACCAGTGACATTGGCCGCAACCGCCCGTCCTCATCCGCTGTCGTCAATTAAGTCACTGGGAACGCATTTTGCTAGCTAAGTGAATTCAAACACCTCACTAACGCGGTTTCCCTACAGTAGCAGTAAACGATACAGCCAAAACCAACCGTATGCTAGGGAGTTCCTAAGTTTTTAGCTCCTTGTTGAAAAATTTTGCCGTTGAGGGGCTGCTGCAACTATCTAACAGGTTGTAGGATCAAACTCCACACAAAGCAACTAAGCCTTCCCTCACATCGCGCAAGCCAACTGGTATGGACGCTAATAAAAAGAGATGCGTGGACGTAAGCCGGTACTCATAATTCTGCAATTAGTTCGAACACAGTGTAAACCCAGTAACATCAATACTAAACGAAAGTCAGTGCATGGCGTATCGCAAAAGAAGCAGTCAGAAACAACACCTTGCCTATATTTTTCAACAGAAATTCAGAAGACCATTTGATAGCTGAAATTTATGCGATCGTCCGTGAATCGATTCTGCACCATTTTTTGGTGAATATTTGCGAAACTTTCTATTTTCAGCTCTTGCGAATGCACAACACCGCCTATCCAATTCACCAAGACGGGCACTTTGGTTCGTTCGTCTACCTTCAACCCACTGATGATCAGCAGGTCTTTCTGCACTGCCGACTCTCGCAGTAACCATTTCGTCAACTAGGAGGAATGCGCCTTATCCACAGTCGGGGCCCCCCAGTTTGTTATTATGGTTTGAGATTCTATCGTGCGGTTAATAAAGAATTGTTGTTTATCCAACTTTGTTGTGACTATTTGATTTTACTATGTGAGATTTTTCAAGAGCAATAGATCCAAGTAGGCGGAGGTGGTGTAGCAGCAAGTGGCACGCTTAGCACTCACGCGGTCCTAGGGTTCATATCCCGGGTCGGTCCTCGCCCAGGCCAACCAACTCGTCTACTCTCCGGGGACAGTTAATTGGTATCAGATGGTTAGATTTCAAGCTGAGTCACTCCCCATTCGATCACGCCCTAGGGAAAAAAACCGAAAACGGGATAAGCTGTAGAATTCTCACCTTGCCACTAACGATTTTCTCATAGATCTGAATAGGTTGATCGGCGAAGAATGGCGGATAGCCGGCAGCCATCTCATAAATCAGCACTCCAAGAGCCCACCAGTCTACCGCCTTATTGTAGCCCTAGAACATAAATGATATTAGCAACAGGGTAAACAAAAATAACCAATCAGTTCTTACCTTGGAAAGGATGATCTCCGGTGCTAAATATTCTGGAGTCCCACATAACGTCCAGGTACGACCCTTGACCCGCTTCGCAAATCCGAAATCAGTGATCTGAAGGTGAAACTGCGTTTGAAAGCGATACTTCAACGGAACCACAGAGCCTGTCACTAACCTTCAGGTAGCCCGTACTGTCAATCAACAGGTTCTCCGGCTTCAAATCCCGATAAATTAAATCGAGAGAGTGCAAGTACTCAAACGCGAGCACTATTTGAGCCGCATAGAACCGCGAATGAGGCTCGGAAAAACTGAAAAATGTCCTTTTACTGTATCGTGCAGAATGAAAATCCGTCTACTACATTCACTTTTGCTGCCTGCACCGTTTCTAGCGTTCCTCTCTCGAGGATATGTCATATCGAGTTAACCTAATTGTTCTAATTCATGGTAATTCACTGAATAACTTACCGTCCAATTCGACGTAAATGGGAGAACATTTCACCACCGGAAATGAATTCGAGCACCATGTAGAGATTTGAGTTGTCCTAGAAATGACACAAGCTACGATGGGAAATGGGAACAAAAATATTGAAGTAATAAGACGAGTCTCAATTATTCAAATATCCCGTGTAACTCCGTCCACGCTAGGAGTTCCCTTCGTATAGGTCGGAAAACAGAATACACCAAATACTTCTACAAGTCTGTACCAAAGTAAAATGCTGTACGAACCTAACCGGCTAGAGCTGAATGTGCCTTCAAGGTTTGCAGAAATGCATTGCTGTCTTTGAATCACTGAGGTTTGCCATTGAGAAGGGACGCACCAGCACAACCACACTGGTCTTTCCTCCTCAATGGCGACCTCCGTTCATTCCTGCAAGCCCTAAAGGCGTAATCCGTCCTACCCGGTGAACCCTTGGTTTTCAGCATCTCAAAAAGGGGCACCATCAAAGAACGTGCACTAGACCAAACTTGTCCCGGTTTGCACGATCTCCATTTAACATGAACCTTTCAATGGCGCTTCTGCTGTAGTACATTACACGGGTCAAAATGAGATTAGGGGCAAAACAGGCAAAGGAGGCAGTACCCAACAACAGGACTATGGCATCTTGTGGATGAGAGTCGCAGCGCAGCATCTCGGTGATCTGGGCAGGTTCTGGCCACTTTAATTCATGAGAAAAAACCTGGCGACTCGCTTAGTAGGACAAAAACCACATTTTTGCGTTACCTAGCAGGGCAGTTCAATGAACCTTATTAACCGCACCTCGAAATTCAGACTCAGACACCACCAAATTAACCTCACCTCACCTCACCAGATACCTCCTTGCTGTCAATGGAAGTACTCAAAGTACTCATAGATGGTCCAAAAATAATTTCGCGAATCTCTACCGAGGGCTGAGAAGGCGCTGAGCAGAGGGCACATCATGTTGGAGATTTCTCAACAGAGGGGATTATATTTGGTCGATGGGGAGGGAGGCGCCGTATTTGGTCCGACAAAAAATTTTTGTGATGATTTTCTCGTCTTAGGACGCTCCACACGGACGAAGGGTCGTATTTGCCTTCTAGCCTTCTAAGAGAGGTTGTTGACTTTTCGTGGTTTTTCCTGTTTCATATATGCCATATACCCTCCCCAAGTAGGACAGCTTCATGAGGACGGAACTGGTGGGCGGATTAGTATCAAGCTACCTCCCATGGCCGGGAGGAGGGCTCCTACGTACCAAAATCCAACCAATGATGTACCCTGGCTCGAAACTCAGAGAGCGTTATGAGCTACTCGGAAATCCTGTCCCACTATTCCTATGCATGGCTTATCCCACAAAGGATTCGATTAACGCCATTTATTTCATTCATAGTTTTTAATGGACGGAAGCAAAGAGAAAAACCACTTCAATGTTTCCAAAAGCATTGCTGGGGCCGGTATCAACAGCACTAGGATATGTAAAAGCTCCCCGCGACGGAATTTATAACTATAAACGTGCTACACTCCTATTTATACCTCTGACTCACTCTCTACAACCCTCTTAACTGGTTTGAGCGCTCTTTGACATTCTCAAATGTAGTGTACTATTTGACGTGTAATGCCTAACTGAACTGAGAGGGGAAATCCTTACGAAACAGGGTTTTTTCGCAATGCTTTCACGTGCGCCTGCCTCTCTCTCATTCTATTCGAGTTGGCTTGTTTGCGGGGAAATAGCGACGATTAAAAGCTATTTTTAGCCTGCGCCTCGGCATCAAGCCTTGGTCGATCCATGGCACCTCACCGACGGCTATTTTTAGTGCCTGTGTCTGCCCTGCCTTGAAAAACCAATAATGCGCAATAGCAGCAGCGAGGCTTAGTGGGACGAGGTCTGGGACATAGATGGAATGTCTCGCATCAGCTTTCTGACTACGTTGTTTTTAGGGTTACAGGGAAGTCTAAAAGATATCTGCGAGGAAAAGACTGGTGATCGTGATGGGCTATTCCTGACCCGTTTGTCAATACATCGGCAAAGCAAACAAAAGAAGAAGCAGCGAAGGAGCGGAAGCCAGCCGACAAGCCGTTTCGACCGCGTTTTCCTTCCGACTTGACAAATCGATCTGATCGCGACCAAAAAGGAGAGCAGCTGGTCTTTCTACAGCAGGCGTTCTCATGGAGTTTCCCCCCCCCTCCACCTTCAACCCCGTGAGCTTTGAAATCCTAATTGAAAAGGGCCACAGTAATCAAAACGAAATATGAAAAGCATTTCAATGTTTTGACAGAAAAGGGCACATTTCCGCGTGACAGTGTGTGTGCGACGAAAGGGGGGGACGTGCTTGGGAGTCGCTAGAACCCAGGAAAAAGGGACAAAAAATGTGGCCAAGCTCACCTTGAAGGAGTACTGCATATTGACGAGAAATGGAAAATCGATTGCCTGAAGAATTCGTTTCTCGTTCAGCGTGTGCTCCACTTGTTTCAGTTTCACAACCTGCAAAAAATTGCCATCAGACTTTTTTTAAATCAAAAATCGATCGATATCAAACTCAAACCTTTTGCTTATCTAAAATTTTCATTGCATAATAGCTGCCAGACTGTTTATGCTTCACAAGCATCACCCTTCCGAATGAGCCGGTTCCCAGCGTTTTGATGCGATCGAAGTCATCAAGGCAGGCGGTATTCTGAAAGAAAAGGATGAGTAGCAGAAGAAAAAAATTGGAGAATTCTTGTTTTTAAATGTAGGGGGAGCAGCACTGTTGACTCATCGCGGTCAGGCGAGTTCATTGGGAGCAGCTCTGTCATGTGAGGATGACATGAACAAGTCGACTGTAATCATGGGACTGCAGTGATCAGGAGTAGGAAAGAGGACCATATTACGACATGGAAAAATATTTATGAAAAGGTCCAGGGCAACTTAGTGACTTCTTAGCACGTGCGTTTGATTTTTCTAGCTTCATTCTTTAGATTCTGACCCAATACAACCGTGGTAGACACAGTTCGGCGACGGGGGGGGGGCATTTTGTACAATCACTGCCTCCCTAATTCCGATTACAAGTCTCACTCTAGCGAAATCTGTAAAATCCTGTGAAGCTGAAACAAGGTCGTCAAGCAATCATGGTAAAACCTGTCAAGTCGAGGAGAGGCTGTCTAAATAGGTCGACATGTCGATGGGAGGTGGTAGCAAAAATGCAAAATGCCCCCCGTCGCCAAACTGCGCCCCGCGGTTATGCCCCACGCAACAGCAACCCCGGGCACAGCCTAGTTGTGCCCCTGAACTGAACCCTTTGAAAAAGATGAAGCCTAAACCCGAGACAATTCTGAAACGGTAGCAACAGAGGATACGGTCTCCGTACCAAGCTTTCTTTGGTCCCAATGATCCCAAGTGATCTAATTTGAGCGTAAGGTGAGAACTGAGTGGCGCAAGAAGGGTACGTCACGTCACTAATTGATGCCCGAAACACCGGTGATCGTATTCGTCGTATTCGATAAATTCCATGTCTCATCGGAACTCCAACAAGTCGCATCAGTGAATCTCACACGCATGAGTGGGTGGGGCTGCTAATCGATTCGGATCGAACGGAATAAGACGACTGTACCGCGTTTTCGTTATAAAAGTTAGCCTGTGTAATCGAAACAAGGACAGTTTTTGGTTGGATCAAATCGCCGCAATAACAACCCCCCGTGTTGATTGGACGTGAAAACATCGCCTGATCTATGGAGAAATACGAGCCAATCGACGGCTGTTGTGAAAAATCAATGATAGAATGAGAGATGTGAAAACCAGGTCCTACCTGCCAGAGCCACTTCATCGACCAATGTTCCGAGAGCTGAGTTTTCAACCAAAATAATTCAGCAGTCAGGTTCACATCTTTCCGTCCGGCGCCAGTTCCCGATGGCTCGTCATCGTAAAAAACGGGGCCCGCTGACGTTGACGGCTCCATCAGGGGATCACTACATTGAGCATAAGAGGTTCTTTCTTCCAAATGAGGAACCTTCTCGCGGTAACGCGGCTCATCCGGAGAACTTGAAGAGCGGCGCTTCTTCACAGCCATACCCGAACTGAGTCCTCCATGGAATGTTGTAGCTCGGATAAGAGGGAATGTTCCGTCGGAGGTACATGGAGAGGAAATGTCATCTGGTCTGAGTGGATTGCATCGGAATAGGGGATGCGTCTCTTGCTGCGGAGACGAATCGCACGACGTCGACGTGGAGGGGCTTCGTTGCGATGCCCAATCGCCGAGGCATTTGGGCCTTTGATCGGCTTCTGGATACAGGGACAACAGCTTGTTTGATGATATGATGGCTACAGGGAACAGAAATTTCAGAATGGAGCGACGATGGGTGGAGACTAGGGCTTTTGCCGTTAGAGACGAAGGAAGGTCAGAGCGATGCGAATGAGTGGGGCGAGCGCAGACGAACAGCCATGACGGGGGCAGAGAGCGTGCCGATGGCGGCGATACAGACGGTGCAGAAGACAACCCAAGAGTACGAGAAACGTGGAGGACTAGGGTGATACAACGGACAGAGGGTTCTCTACGAAGCGCGGAAGCGCGAGAGAACCAGGCAAACCGGCTCTTTTGTAGGCACAATACACGTGGGAGAGTGCCAACGATTTCTATTTTTAGCGCGCATGTTGAGACCGCCAATCATACTCAAAATAGGAAACGTAAAAATACCTCCTAATGCGAGACGTTTACGGTCGCTCGAGGCGAAAACAACGAACGATAAGAGGTGAAATGCAGGTATTCAGGTCTGAACTAACAGTAGCAGTTAATCCATTTATAGCTCCTAGGCACGTGGTGCTAGGAACCGATGGTTTAGGCAGCATGGATGGCGTGAACCATTCTTTCACCTTAAACTGTTTGTAGTGCAAGCGCCGTTAAATTCATTCGACAGACTCTTCGCTCTACCGCGCTGTCAACAGAGAGGGCGCACACGGCCGGTCACCGTCCGCGGAATTCGGTCGACGGGTGTCTCAATGTGGGACAAATTCCATCTATGGCAGGCATGTGAAATCGAGAAAAGCTCATTCCTAAGAAGCCGCTGATCATACAGTACTCAGGGACTACAGTACTTTGATCTTACCATGCAACACTACTCTTTTACCGTAACCATCTCGCCCCGACAATGCATTCATGTTGTTGATTTCATATTTAGCAGCGAAGTTTAGAAGGGGAAAGTGAAAACACCACGTACCTACCGGTGCACTCAATGTTTTCCTTCTGTTGACAGCTATTTTAGGAACAGGAACTTAACGAGGGAACTGTGATGAATCGGCCGACCCCCAGAACAGCACGTTCTTGTTTAATGTAGGCGAAGCCGACCCATTAGCGCGTACAGAAGTACCCACCCGGAATTTATACAACGAAGTAACTCGTAGTCCTGTACGCCAATGGAAACCCAGAACAGAAGGACAAGGTGAGCCTCAGCCGTCCAACATAAGCATCCCGCGTAATGCGATTCACAGCCTCGCACAGATGCGAGACGAATGTCTCAACAGAAAAAAGTGGTGTCGTCACTTCGGCGGAAATCCCTACCCTAACGGTTCGTTTCACCTGCTTCACCAAGCGCCATTTAGTTTCCTACTCTGCCTCGGCCTGTTTCCCAAAAAAGGCAAGAAGGCCTACGCAAAAAAGTAAGTGCGTTTAGCTAGCAATGCTGCGTCACGGAACGATCGAATTGCCCCTGCTGAGCGCCCTCGAAATGGCCGGCTAGGCGGCCGGCCACGTTGGCCTTGAAGTGTTAATGAAGCCTCGCACTAAGCTTTTTTCCAATTAGTCGTCGATTGCGGTGGTTCGAACACTCTCACGTATGAAATTACGCGACGAGTGGCGCTGCGGCTAGTATGCTGGACGGATAAAAATAGCGCTGTGCCAGATCGATAGCTGCCATATGCATTCTGCACGACCACGGGGAGAACAATCCCATAACAGAGAAATTCCCTGGCTTATGGTGGGAAAACAGGCAGTCTTGAGCTTTGCTGTGGGAAGAACTTCGAGGGATCTTGAGGGCTTGGTTTTATGGTGAGGTTACTGGCCTGAACTGATTCAAAAGCGGCATGGAATGTGCTCTGAGAAAGCGAATTGGGGCCAGATCTCTTTCCTATTCAAAACTGATGGAAGTGGAATGCTTCCGGGTGAGCTTTCTCAGGAAGGTCCAGATCCGGACGAGCTACTTCGGAAGAGCGGAAAAAGAGTGCAATGCTGGGTTAGAACGAAAGAATGGAAAAATGAAAGAACACTGATCACAAAGCACGTTAGAACTCACTAGAAAAAGTAACGAGTATTACCTGAGCTGGATTCTCCCATCGCTGTTTGAAGTCCTCTCGAGCTTTCTCCAGAAACTCCTTGACTGAAAAACGAACATTTAGTTAAACGACAGCCAGAAAAAGAGAAGTCAAACACACACACACCACACTTTCACCTATTGTACTCAAGCGCTGCCGCTTCCCTCTTGGAACTGCTCGGGCCCAGGAGAGCGTTCATCTGCGGCATGCATGCGCAGCAGGCAGCGATTGGAGAGGAACGTTAATGGGAAAAAAGGCTAAAAAAGTGACTGAGGACTCACAGAACTTGATCTGAAGCTTCTTGTTGCTGGAGGACATATCTTGCCTCAGGCAGGCATGGACCGGAGCACCCGTATTGGGCTGCCTGCCGCGACGCACCCGCCTCGCGCGCGCCAACCCTCCTGTTCCTCAGCCTCACACCACGTTACTCTCGACATCACATCACTGCCCTCTACGTGCCCATGGGCGCCTCGTCGTCGCTAGTTTAGTCGAGGATGCCGGCGAGGACCGTGTGCGGAAGTCACCAATGGCGCGGATTAGATGTTGATCTACTCGCGCTCCAATTGGTCAATTGATTGTTGTGGGCACCGTAACAGTGGAACCAGAATGGCCTGCTATTTGTGGCAAACAGTTGTTGAGTAAAACATGCGGATCAACCCCTGTTTGTGGTGAACTTCTATTTTTAACCCGCGGACTGCGTGTGCGATCCGCTCGTAAGGCCACGCTTGAATTCCCATCTTGCCTTAAAGGTGTTTCTTTCTGAACTATGCCAAAATAAGAGGATATTCAGGAAAGTGCTCAAGGCTCATCCAGAGAAAACTGGTAGAGCTGGAGGTACAGCTAGAGTTTGTTTTAGAGTTTCCGTGTTGATAGTTGCAGGTGAGCCTATGCACTATTTCCTTCACTGGAGCACTTCACGAAGCCTAATCATCACTCATAGTGAGCAGTAAAAAACAGCCAGCCCCCACAGCTCGCAACTGCTACATCGATAACTGGGGAAACGAGCGCCTTCCGTCATGTTTCAAGTTTATGACTGTTAAGTGCGTATTTCCAGTAATTCAAAGTAGTTCGTTAGTTCGTTCTAAGACTCGAGCCAAATATGAATCTTTTTAATCCTTGGCTGCTGTCAGAAGAAGGTCTTACATTGTCCCACGGCTCATGACATACATAGAGGTTTTACGACGGTGGGATTCCTCTCCGACAACGTCGTGAGACTTCCACACACGCGTCTGACACAAGTTTAATCTGTACAAGATTGAACGTCGCCGAATCGGCAAGTGCGCCGCATCGATTTTAACAACTGCCCCGGAGAAACGACTCAAAGGTTGCCCATGCAAAGTTGCTACACTCTTACATTAATCACTGAAAACTTCCAAGGATGTTCTTGTCCAATTCCCCCTGCTTAAGAGGAATATGGCACAGGTGTGGAAATTCTGACCCCTTACCGTACTTAGTGGAACCGGGAGCGGTTCGACTTGGTGGGAGCACCAAACGGCATTTAGCGAAGCTTGAAGACCTGTGAACGCTTGTAAGCAGGGTTTCTCATGTGTACCATTTCGCAGTCCCGCCATAGTTCACAAAGCTCATCAAAGTGAGTTAAAAAGAGTTAAAGTAGTTAATGAACCAGTAGAAGGCATTAGTCAAAGCACAAAGCCCCCCCCCTCCTCTTTTTCACCTTCTAAGCCGAACAACGCCCAACTATAGTACGAAACTCATTTCTGATGTTCTCAACGAAGGGAAAGATCCTGTCGGTTAGTAGGAGGTGGCTATAATTGAGACCCAGACCCGAAAACGAAGGGTGGAACATGCTAGTTAGTCGCTAATGAAAACTCGATTAGGAAAGAAGTAGTACAAGGCCTGATCACACTCACAGGATATGATTGGGATGTCTTCGTCGGCGTTGTCATCGTTGACGTCATCGTCAGATGGACTACTGACGGATGGCTTCAAGGAGATGGTAGCAATAGGAGGTAAGGTGAATGAGGCGGAGACGTCGCAGTCGGCTGTCCAGACGTCGTCCGTCGTGTCTTCTGGCCGCACTGCCTGCATTCGAGCAAGCAAATGCGAACGAACTACGACCGCCGGGCACAGCTGACGGAGGGCCAATCGCCAGGCAAGCATGCGAAGTCGCTAAGTCGACTCGTCCACCTGTTGCACCTCATGCATCAGTCACTGCTCTCGGTAACGACTAGTGATACCCGAGCGATCGAGCGAATCATCGCGCGATCATCGTTGCGCGACAACCCGCTTATACTCTAGAACCGTCTTGGCTTGGCTTGAGAAAGGCACCTAAGTCCATTATCAATAACAAACGGCTAACACCGTTCATGACCCTTCGTCACTATCTATAGATATAGCACACTTTTTTCTTCAAAAATCACCGATCTGTAGTGTTAAAATTAACTGGTACGTGAGTAGTCGCCCTGAGTCGTGATTTATCGCTGCCAACGGTTTTTGCAGCCGTCCATCCGTCACTACAAGGGCGTCACGCGGAGCTGATCTATGAAAAGAAAGCTACAGTTTCCCGAAGATCAGTGTTCATTTGACGCTACTGGGAGCATTTCATTGCCTGCCAATATTCATGATGACTGTTGTTCGTCAGCAGCTAGGAAAGAAAACCTAAGGGCATTTTTTCCCGGGGAAACTGTTTTGCCTACGAACATGGAGCTTGATGATCAAAGTTCGGGGTTATTCTTAGAAAGAGCTGAAATTGTAGGTGGAAATGTTGAGAAGGGAGAATGAGGGGAAGGTGATGGCTTCTTGAGAATCGATGCCATCACATGTCTCTCGCGGAAAACAACATTTGCCGGAGCACAACACTGGCAGTTTCATGGCACAGGCTCCTTCCGTATGTCTCCCACTCCCCTTAAACAAGAGGGTTGGGAACTGACTGCCAACAATGTTTCAGAGAAGGCATCCCACTTACCAAGGCGGCGCTCTTCAAAGCTCCCGGACATCTCCCACCCCATTCGATTGCTGGGATATCAT